TTACCTCATCGGCCTAAGTGCCTGCCCTGCAAGCAGGCAGTCGTGAGTTCGATCCCCGGTACCAATAAAAAGGAAACACACACACACACACACACACACACACACACACACACAGAAACAAAGTGGGGACCCCGGCTCCCTGCTCAGTCTCTCAGTTAAACTTCTAGCCTTCTCAGGTTGACGCAGTGTATCAACCATAACACCCTGGGATCCGGACACTGCCCGGAGACCCTGGCCACTTGTGTGGGTCCCAGGCTCCTGGCAGCGAGTTGAGCAGGAACTTGTGTTTGCTGAGTGCGTCTGGAGTTCCTGAGAGCTGTCCCACACGCAGCACCCCCTGAACTGAACCCTGATTCTTTCAGAAAACAGGTGACTCATTCTCGCAGTCTGTAGACGCGTTCAGAGTTGCCTTGAGGTTTCTTATGCAGAATCGGTCACGTTTGGAAACCGGCTTAGCATGTGACACTCAAGTCCAGGGCCTCACTGTGGGCTTGGAAAGGCTTCGTAGCCCTTGATTTCCCAGGTGATCCCCTGGAGTCACCTTTGGCCTCTGTGGGGCAGCAGGGACAGTGTCTCCAAGGACGATCTTAATTCGTTTTTTCCTCCCCTCCCTCCCACTCGTTGTCTTGGCCCCTGCCCATTTGCAAAGATCTTTCTCCCTGCTTCTCGTGAGCCATCTTTCATTTTGCTCTTTGTTTATACTCTGGGTTTGTCATATAAGAGACACTGTGTGGTGTTTAAGCTCGTGTGTCTGATTGATTTCGCTGAACATCATATTCTCAAAGGAAAAATCCATTTTCCTGCAAATAACTCAAATCTGTCCTTCTTTATGGCAGAGGAGTACTCCACAGTGTGTAATACCATATGTGTGTCATCTGCTCAGCTGTCCATGGACATCTGGGCTGCTTCCCAGGTTATGAGCTGTGCTGTTATAAGCATGGTATGCGTGGATCCCTGGAGTGTGATGTCTTTAAGTCTCTTGGGAAGGAACTCTTCAGGGAGAGGGGAAGGGAAATCATTCTGCTGCCATAAACCCAGGCTCTCACTAAATTACACAGCCGGTCCTCGAGCTGCAGGTGCCCCCACTCTGCCTCCCATGTAGCTGGGGTCTCACCTGTGCTCCTGCCTGGCACAACATTCCTTTCCAAGTGCCCTGTGCATTTCTGCACCCCTTTCCTGTGGAAGGTTTCTTCCGCGAGCTGCCCTTTGTGCCCCCTGGCTCATGCTGGTCTCATGGGCTGGCGGCGGCGCCCAGTGCTGTGTGATGCCCCTCACTGTACAGTGGCACTGGGGCCCGGAGGAGAAGGACCTTGCAGCTGGAGGTGTGGGCAGTGTGCATGGACTTGGAGTGGGCAAGAAGGGGCTGCAGGGCCAGTGGAGCCAGGGCAGACGTGTAGCTGAATTCGGGTTTTTTGAATGGTGGTCACCACAGGCTTATAACATAAAATGTACCCTTTTACCCGCTCCGAAGCGTCAGACTCTGTGGCATGGGTCGCATTGTAGTGCTATGCGCTGCTGTGACCGTTACTGGTTTCCAACACTACCGCCTTCTCAATAGAAACTGCACTGGGCGGGCAGGAACTGCTCTGCCGGGTTCCTCGGGCCTCGGGCAAACTCTCATCTGCCTTCTGAGCCCGTGAATCTTGCCTTCTGAGCCCGTGAATCTTCCCTTCTGGATACTTCATGCCAGCAGACTTGTGCTCTCCTTGCCTTCCGGGGTCTGGCCTATGTTTTCAGTGTTCAGGGTTTGTCCCTCACTCAGAGGTGTGCCGAGGCTGAGGCGTGTCCTGTCTTACCGCATGACACACTGTGTTTACACACTCTGCTGTTGGTAGAGCTGGGATTAGTCTACCTCTTGGCTGTTGTGAACAATGCTGTAATGAATGCTTGCATCTTGAATTCCTTTTTCAATTCTTGTTGTTTGTTTGTTTTTGAGCCAAAGTCTCACTGTGTAGTCCAGGCTGGCCTGAAACTCTTGGCAATCCTCCTGCTTCAGCCTCCCGAGTGCTGGAATGACAGGACTGAGGCTTGCTTATGACTGTTAAGTTGCAGGGTGGAAATAGTTTGGTTGTAGCCAATCCCAAGATGCCAACGTGAACCGTTCTCCTGGACGGTGGACAGGGCAGTCACACAGCTTCCTCAGAAGGTGAGGGGGCAGTCAATCAGTAAGTCATACACTTCCATTTACCCTCTAAAGAGAATCAAATGATGGAGGAAGGAGTCCCAAAAAGTGATTGCCCTGCTCTGGGTTCCAAAGTGCTTGCTACTCAAGGCTGTTTGGTGCACCCTCTCCAGGTGATTTAACTTCCTGAGACTCGGGTTTTGTACCCCCATTTTCTCTCCAGCTTGCATCACTGTTTACAGAGGACACAGTCACAGGGAGGAGATCACTGCCCACAAGCCTGCCCCGCTTCTGACAGCTTGCCCCGCCTGGAAGGGCCTGTTCCTGATAGATTAACCAGCAAACCTAGTAGAGGTGTTGGCCTGCCTGGATGCCTGGTCCCGCCAGCAGTGACCAGCTAGCCGTGCTTGTCCCTTGGATACAAGCATAGGTTTCTCAGCTGTTCTCACCAGGCAAGCAATTCTGCAAATGCCATACGCTCTCCATGTAGTAATGTGTTTAGATCCAGGCTTGGGCCACTTTGAGTTACAAAGACCATCACACCCAGGAACCATCCATCTTGCCACTCACTCACCCATTCATCCATCCATCCACACATCCATCCACCCATCTATCCATCCATCCATCCATCCATTCTTCCACCCATCCACACAAGACTTTCAGAGTGTTGAGGGCTGCAGATACAAAGGTGATTGCATGATCCTTACTGCCTATCAGCTCACAGGCTGTGACAGAGTAGGACAGAGTGGGAACAGACATGTGAAAAAAATTTTAAGACTAAACTGTGAGGAGGGAAAGCGCCAGAGAGTACGGGCGACGAGTGGGAGACTCAAGGAGTTCTGCCAGCCAGGGGTTCTGGGAGGTTTTCACGGTGTATGTGTGGCAGAGGGGAAGGTGGCAGGGCTGGGTGACAGTGTGAGGGACCTGGGGGCCAGGCTCTGGGCTTGGTTCCCCTGCAGCAGGACTCTTTCTCTGTTTTATTGCCTTGTGCCTTAAAACTTCGAGTTTTGCTAAGAATGAAACCCTAGCCACCGTTTTCAGAGCTCGAAGTGTGACAGGTCCTGTATGTTCTCTTCCTTGTTGAAATTAATCTTTACAGCAGCCTTAGGGGCTTTTTCACCTTCACTTTAAATTGAAAGGTCTCACCGGTGATGCAGGAATTGGCCGACTGCAACCACCTGCGATTCACATCCAAACCTGCGATTTTGGAGTTGCAAGCCAGCCAGACATGGTGTAATCGAGGGAGCGGCGGTGGACCTGCAACTCACAGTGCTGACCCCAAAACTTCACATTGTGTAATGCTCATGCCTGGAACCCTCTCGCTACGACCTGTGCTGATCACAGAACTCTGAACATGCCACGTCCAAGTTCGGGCACAACAGTTACTGCAGAAGATGATTTCAAAAGACGAGGGCTCTGAGGCCAGCCTGGGCCACAAAGTGAGTTCAAGGCCAGCTCGAACTGCCTAGTGAGACCCTTTCTCAAAAAACAAAACAAAACAACAAAAAAGATGCTGGGGACCAGGGTTGCTGCAGGCCATACTGGGTCGGTGGTAACCATTGTGAGCCCAGTGTGAGCCCACCGGTGCCTTTCCTGAGTAATGTGTCATGCTGTGCAGCCAGCACACGCCTGTGCTGCACGTCCGGTCGTGGGGCCTGGGTGCCAGCTTCCTACCGTCCTCCTGGCGGGAAGGCGGAAGGCACGCACCACCATCTCTGAAGAGCACAGCTGAACTTTCTTTTCAGCCAGCTTGCCGGGTGTTTGTCTATACTTGGGCTGCTTACTTTGGCGCTGACATGACCTTTGCACACTTGCGTGTGTACAGAGGACTAACCCACAGCCCAGGAAAGCAAAGACACCTGTCCGGGGTTTGCTTCCTGGTGCCACTGCGGTGTGGAGCTCCGGGGGATTTGTTTCATTTGAAAATGAGTGTTTGGATGCCTTCACTCGGGACTCCATATTTTAGGGGAAGAGGACGGCACTTTGAGGCTCCATGGCCACCTGTGTTCAAGCCCCCCCTCCTGCTCCATAGGGTGGCCCTTCACAGGCCACCTAGTATCACCTCATCAGGGGACCTTGTGAGTGCAAGGAGATGGCAGGGCCCTGGGGCACAGATTCGTGTGAGTGTCCTTTTTGGTGCTTTCTCACCGGGATGCAAGTGGACATGTCCAGCAGTGTCCTACAGACCGGTGAAAGGCTTGAAGCATCGTCAGGGGTATTTAGGTTTCCTTGAATTGGAATGAACCTCTGCCATGTGACATTTTTCAGGAAGTGAGAGTATTGTGAAACAAGGTGAACCCTGTAGCTCCTATGGGTTGGGATCCAGGGGCCCCAGGCGAGGCACCCTCAGAGGTACCATGAAGTCTGCTTGCATTCTCATGACATTTCCTGTCTCCGACATGTCGTGATATCTTCTGCCTGCAAGAGACGTCTGATCATTTGTTTTGCAGATGGATCCACAAGTTTCCTGCGAGCCGGAGGTATGGCCACCATGCCCAGGGCCCTCTCTGTACCCAATCCCCAAAGGCGTTCAGCTGACCTTTTCTGGCTGTATCTGTCCCGTGTCCCGGTCTCCAAAAGGACACAGAGCTTCACGAGCTCCTACTGAAAATGGTCTGGCGACTCAAGTGGCAGCCTGGTGCGGACCTCAGGGATGATAAGACTTCTAGACATTGTCTTCCTGCGGGGTAGTGGAGAATGGGAACTTTCCAGGAAGACAAACCTGATTCCTACTTCAGGGGCTCAGGGTGTGTCATTTGGGCTTTCTGCTTCAGTTGCCCTGGGGCAGAACTGAGAGGTTAAAAAGTAAGGATGCTTGATTCCATGCTGGCAGGTATCACAGAATAACGTGGTCGTGGTCGGGGACTTGATTGTGCAGAGGTCAAAGGGTTGGCCCGCCGCTCCTTTTCTAGTGAAGAACTCGCCACGCTCAGGTCTCCTACTTTTTGGCCAAGGTCTTCCCAAGACATCAAGCTAGGGTGTCAGAATACTATTTCCTGGCCAGGTGTGGTGCCGCACACCTGTAATCTCAGCATCTGCAAGGCTGAGGCAGGAGGCTCCTCATGGATTTAAGGGCAACCTGAGCTCCATAGTGAGTTCAAGGCTAGCCTGGAATACATAGTGAGACCATGTCAACAACACACAAAAGGAAAACAAAAGAATTCCTCACAGTGTTTTAATTAATGCAGCGAGATAAATCCCCAGAGTGAGACAGCCTGCTGTGTTTTCAGAGGTGGTAAGTCAGTCCAGAGCAATCCGACTTTCCTCTAAAACCTGACCGATGGCAGGGAAGCACCTTCGGGCGGTCATCTCATTACCTGCTTCAGAAGATACCACCAATCAGCTCTTGCATGCAGAGCTCATGGCTTGGCTTTATTAATCCTACTCTGTTGCTGGTTAATTACAGGAACCACAGAAGCCTTCAATTAGATTAAAGCCATAGTAAAATACCTTGTTCTGTATATTGAGTGTTTCTAGAACACGCTGATGTTTATCTTTCCAGACGTTGCTTTGTTGACAACCTGTAAAATAATTAAACCGGAGAATCAGATTGTTTGTATATGTAATTTTTGTGACAAAGTCCCGCCATATATTCTAGGCTGGCAAAAAAAAAAAAAAAAAAAGTTTAGCAAATTTAGGCAAAAAAAAAAAAAAAAAGAGCAAACCTTAACCACTCACTGATGGGGGCTGTCATCTTCCATCCCTTCGATAGCCCTGAAGTGAACCTTATGATTCTCTTCTCTCACAGTAGGACAATGGAAGGATGCAGCACTGCAGTGTCTAAGCTCGGGCCCTGAGAGGGAGAGGCCAGGGGTGATGGGATATGCGTGCGCCCTCTTCTCAGCACAGTGCTGGCCTCGCTGTGAGTGGAATAATCGCAAGTGGGTGATGCCGTGGGATGTGAAGTGAGCTCAAGAGCACGGAGGAAGCCGGTGTGCAGATGCCACGTGAAGCACGTGTTCCGTGTGTGTGGTGGTGCAAATAAAGACCAGTCTGGGGTTTCTCAGTGACCATGGGTGGAACTATGAGTGGGAAGTAAGCTTGCCCAAGAGGAGCGCAGCAGTTCTTTGAGATCAGGCCCCAGCACCCCAGAGGGTGAGGCGGGCTTACAGTGGAATGGCTCCGGAAGCCTAGGAAAAAGTGACAACAAAACTGGGGTGTGGGGAGGAGGGCAAGCTGCCCTGGAAGTGGGCCAAGGGGGGCTCAAGAGGCAGAGGAAGGGGGCATGGTGGGATGGAACTATCATGCGAGACGGGAGGCCCCACCTGAGGACCGTGTTCCATGGCAGGCCTTGTGATCTGTGCTCAATGGGGTGATCCTGATGGCTCCATGGGGCCATCAGGATGGGTGTGGCAGGTCACAGCTGGAGTCCCAGGCCTCAGTGGCTGAGGCTGGAGGATTGCAAGCTTGAAGTTGGCCTGGATGGCTTAGCGAGACACCTTCTCTTCCCCCAGAAAGGCCAGGGATGTCGCTCAGTGGTAGAGAACTATCCCAACACGTGGCTTGGGTTCAATCTGCAGCGCTGTAGATGAATGAACAAACCAGTGACTGGACAAATGGATGAGTGAATGGAATTGGGCCGGCTGTGTGCATCACACACAGTTCCACCCAGAGCAGCCAGCCCCACAGGGTGCTGGGATGGCTCTGAGAGAGGACTCGGCCATCATCCTGTGGGATACGCGTTCAGCCAGAGGTCTTCAAATGGGGCTGTGTCACAACACACAGAATCGCAGGTCCAGGAGTGAGAGTCAAAGTAGCTGGGGTCCCATGTGAGTGACCTGTGGGGAACTTTGTCCTTCCTGTCCCCAAAGGTCGGGGCTTATGAAGGACCAAAGGCTTGGTCCTCCCAGAGGAATGTATGTGTCCCATTGAATCAGAAAGTGGAACTGTCACCTTGGATCCCTTGTCTCCAGGGCCCCCAAGGCAGGAGTCACTGTGCTGGAGGTGAGGTCCATGCTCAGCAGGAAGAAGAGGACAGGACCAGGAGGAAGTTGTGCAGAACCCAGTAGGTGTACGTGGGCCTTTCTGGTACTCCCCAAGCCATGGTGCTGTGCTGGAACGTATGGGCCCAAGGCCTGTGGGAACTGGGAGTCCTCAAAGGCTACAGACCAGGCCCTTCAGAGCCATGGCTGAGCGCAAGGGAGTTAAAATGCGTAGCAGGACCAGAGGATGAGGGCCACCTGTGGTCCTAAGACCAGTAGCCAGGAGCCAGCTGTGGTGCTGGTGAGGGCACTAGTGCTGACCCAGCCCTGTTGCCTTTCTGCCTGGGGACTCCCAAGAGGGCGAGGCTTTCTGGAGTCTCTGCCCTAGGTGGACTCTATCTGCCTTTCCTTTGTCCCTCCTCCGGCCCTGTCCTTGCTGGTGTTTTTCTCAGTTAACCTCATGTCTAACCTCGTGTTTGAACCACCCTCTCCACTTCCCCAGGACCTAGCCAGGGCACACTCACCGGCGAGCTGCTGGTGGGGTCAGGGCACCTGAGGCAGCGATCTGCACTTTGGCCACATCTTCACCATCACATCACGCACAGCCTGCGACACTCGAGCGGGTGCTGTGATTTCACGTCCACCTCGGAGGACGCTGACCGTCAAGTTAGCAGGAACACGGTGCATAGATGGCTGGGCGGTGCTGAAATTCCGACTGAGGTCACGTGGCCGCCAGGGCACCTCACCTGCCCAGCGCAGGCACTGCAGCTCACAGCAGAGCAGGCATCTTGCTAGCATGGAAGTGGCCGAGAACACGGGAGGCAGATTCTCTAGATGCACAGCCTGGTTTTTCCTGAGTAAGATCCCAAAGACTGCACCTGTAGTTCCGATTCCTGACAGAGCCGTGTGTGTGTGTGTGTGTGTGTGTGTGTGTGTGTGTGGGGCTGTTCTCGGGGCTGTGCACGCTCAGTACTAGTGTAAACAGAATGTACTGGGGGCATTCCTAGGCCCGCGTGCATAGAAGCCCTTTGCTGTTCACCGTGTTTCTTTTGCTGAATTATATGTGAAGTGGGTATCTGGAGGACTTTTATTAGGCATAACCTTAAGGTAAAAGAAATTTATAGATTCCTCCCCCCTACTACGTTTAATAATTTTCTTTTGTGTTAGTTACTTTTCTCTCGTTGCTGAGACAAAATGCCTGGAATGAAGGAAGGAAAGATTTATTTAGCTTACAGTTTGCAGAGGTTTCAGTCCATTACCAGCTGGCTCCCTGGCAGGGTGGCACATGGCAGAGGGGTAACCGTTCATGGCAGCAGAAGACAGCAAAAGCAGCAAGAGCAAACGGGGGACCAGGCCTCTTTTCTCCTTTTATCTTTTCAGACTGCTGGGATTAGAACAGTGCTGATCTAATCAGTGGATTGATCCAGCCATCACAGCCTTAATCCTAGCACTGGTAGTCGCTGCACCGCACTACAGACCGGTCACACATTCTGGACTCAGCTAACTCTGCAAAAGCCTGCCCCCACCAGGCTTTGGGGGCATATCCAGACATAAGCCATGCTAACTTTTAATCAGTTATTTTGAATAAGTATTTTAGACAGCCTACTGTTTGCAGGGTGCTGGGCAGCAGAAAGGGTCTCATTCCTGTAAGTCCAGTCACTTCCTCTCCTTAGATGAAGCTGATTGGATAGGTTAGGGAGGCTGTAGCAGCCAAAGGTTAGTTTAGATTCACATATTTTGGAGGGAAATCGTTAAAGAAAGAGTGAACATTTGTTGAATATTCCATTTCTAGTATGACAATATTGATGTAAAGAGTATCAAATTAAGGGCTGGGGATTTAGCCCAGCAGCATAAGCACCTACCTTGCAAGCAGGCAGTCGTGAGTTCGATTCCCTGGTACCGATAATAATGAAAAAGACAAAAAAAATCATCAAATTAGATACTTCAGAAGACTTTGAAACATTTATCTGTATAAAACCTGGAGTAATGAGAAAGAACCATTTGTGCTGACCCCTTTGACCTTTATGTACCCTAAGCTCTGCTTCTCTTAGTGGGCATGACCCTGTGGATTCATTTGCTTGTTTTAAACCACTCTCCTGCTGAGGAATCTTCTTTTATTTCATTTTTGTGTTCCCAGCAGCGCAAGGCGGATGGCACCTACAGGTACCTGTTGTGTTCGTCTATCGAGCCTAACGTAAGGTAAAGGGAAGCCTTTCTCAGACACCAGACCGAATGAATGAATTGCAGTGACAATAAATAAGCAAACAGAGACCCAACAGTTCATGACAATTCAACAGACTCAGCGGTAGGAAAATGGAGAGCTTTTGTGAGTATAGTTTTTTTTTTTTTTAGGGTAAAGAATATGGTGGAGAAATGACTCACAGAGAAAGAACTATACTTTATTTTTTAAAGAACTGTATTTTTATTGAATATCTCATTATTATAAATTGATGGGCAATTCTCCAGTCCCACTAAGTGGTGGGCAGAGAACAAAAACAGACCATACTTGTATTAGCACTCCGAACAAACACGGATAAATTAAGGGAGAAAAGTGGAAGAAAACCAGTGAGAAAGCATATGAGAAATTACTGAGCTCCTTAATGGCCATGAAAATTAAAAATTAAACAAGGTGCATTTTAAAAACATTAAAGGTGCAAACCATTTAAAAATTATAATGTGCACTGTTATTGAATCTGTGTGCATTTTTCAGGGCGATGTCTGTTTACAGAGACTGTGTAAAGTAACCTGGTGGCGTCAGTTTATGAACTCAGAATCAGAAAATATGCAACTCATTTCATCAGTAATCTCTTTGCCACTAATCTCTCCAAAAGTAATTATTTGTGTTGATTATTACGTCTCATGTTTAATTACTATTTAAAAATTATGTGCATGAAGAACTTGCATTAGTTATGAAGATGTGGAAATAGAGGTACGATCATAAATTTAAGTTAAAGAAACAGTTTACAAAATCAAATGTACATCATGTAATTTAAATACATTGAAAAAAATAACTGGAAGAAAATCTATACCATAGCTGTGTTTATGGTAGGGTTGGAAGGCTTGCCATATTTACCTCTCTTTAGTCTCTGAACTTCTGTAATAAAATTTGATGGTTGCACAATGGGGATTTAGTCATTGTTGTTCAGCACAACCTTTTAAAAGCAGATCTCAGCCAGAGATATAGCTCAGCAGCATAGCGCCTGCCTGGCAAGCATAGGTTGTAAGTTCGATTCTGGGTACAAAAATTTAAAAAAGCAGATCTCAGCCAGGCATGGTGGTGTACACCTGTAATCCCAGCACCCGGGAGGCTGAGGCAGGATCTTGCAAGTTCAAAACCAGTCTGGGCTACAAAGTGAGCTCAAGGCCAGTCTCAACTTATATAGCAAGATCCTGTCTCAAAATGATTAAATAAAAATAAAAGCAGATCTCATTGTTTAACCATGTTTTCCCATTTCTAGGTAGGCAGGAGCTTTGGCAGAGGCATAGGCAGATTAGAAAACACTCTTTTGATGGCTATGTGTGAAATCGTGTGCGTGCTTTTGGTTGTGATGTTACAGTTTCCTGGTGAGAGCCTTCCAGTTTGCCACCTGGCTTGGCTCAATTTAGGAGAATGCCGCACACTGCATGTTAGAAAGGACTCTTTGCTCCTCTCCATCTGCCATCATTTCTTCCTGATGTCAGATATGCTCTACAGAGTGACTTTTAATCCCTTGTATTCTCAGACAGTTTAGTTGGTGGTGTTCTTGGTCAGCTTGTCAGCCACCTCAGAAAACAGAGCCGTGGAAGAGTCCTTCCCCTCCACTGTGTCCAGGCAGTAGACCACTGGAGCCCGGGTGTTTGCATCTGTGGGGCTCAGGGAGCTCCTCCATATGCAACATGGGATCTGCCATGCTATGGGACTGCGGCCTCTAGTTCTCTTCCTGGCTATCCCTAGATTAGTGGCTCTCAAAGGCGGGGGGGGGGGGTGTCGTCCCTTAGGGGACCTGTGCAATGTCTGAGGACAGTTTTGCTTGTCACAGCTGCAGCCAGAGGAGTAGAAGATTGGGGAAGAGAGGGGGTATCAGAGGGTCTGCTGCTGGCACCCAGGAGTAGAGGCCCTGTGCTCCTCCCTACTAGGATTGAGCCCCATCCTACAGGGAATCTTCCAGTCCAAGCTGTCCGCAGTGCTGAAGCTGAGAAACCCTGCCCTAGAGTGATCCTTCCAAAATAAAAGCCTGCTTGCCCACCTGCAGAACACACTATTTTTTGCAGGTAAAGTTTTTGCGTAAGACTTCTTTTTTATAGTCCCCGGATATGTGGGGCAGACCATTTCTGATAGACTGTGGGCCTCCTCCCTGGCCCCTGGGACTAGGCTGCTACTCTAGGTCTCTGCTGACTTTTTCAGGCTGGGCCAAGACACTTCCTGCATCGCTATTAGAGGCCAGGAGAATAGAGGCCAGGAGAGGGTCTCCGCAAGGCCTCGAGTCCTCAGTGATGCTTGCCTGGTAGGAGGCAGTGGTCGGACTTGAGACCTTATGACCATTCCACTTTGTGAGTGGCCAGGTTTATTCTTGAGTACAGTGGATTCACTGTTGCTATCCTTATTTTTCCCCTCCCTTTAGTTTATTGAGACAGGGTCTTAACATACAGCACAGGCTACAAACTTAGCAGTGCCTCAGGTTCTGAAATTCTAAGATTATAAATGTGTCTGTCACACCTGGCTTCTTTTCTTTCTCCCTTCTCATTGGAATTGTTCTTTCATGGCTATGTCTACACTCGTGTTACCCCACCTTATTTAATGGCCAGATTTAAAACCAAAGCGTCAAGCCTGACAGCCCATGCTTTCCACTCTCTGCCCCTTTGTGACTTTAATTGGCCTGAAGGGAAGGTCTGATAAAGAGCAGGAAGCCGTAGTTAGCAGGCAGAGAAAGTGATGCAGGGGCTGCGGGGCAGTCACCACGAGCCTGGCAGACAGGACAGGGCAGGACAGCTCCAAGAGGTGCCAGGCTTGGCGCCAGGCTGGGCCCTGCCTTCTTCCCTCCCGCCTGGCCCAGCAGGCTTGGGAAGTCGCTTGGGCAGCCACTCCGACCTTTATGAGAGAACAGCTAAAGGATTAGGGAAATGGAGGCCGACTTGAAACCTATGACCTGGGGTCAGCCAGTAGCTAGTGGGGTCCAGACGGACATGCAGGCAGCACAGAGGCTGAGGAGCAGAGGCTGAGGATTTCACCAGGGGGTTTTCAGGAGGAGGCTGAGGAGGGAGGGGACAGCAGGGATCCCTGGGGCCCTGCGCAGAGTTTTTTGCAGTGAGTTAGGGGCAGCTGGGACCCCTGGGGGGACCCAGCAGGGGACACCTGAAGCTGACCAGTAAATGGGTTGCAGGTCCAGCTGAGGGTTTGAGGAGGGCTGGATAGGTGGGAGCCCAGTTGCAGTAGGACCCCAGCAACACGGAACCGAGACTGTTTGCTCCTGGACATCACAAGGCCGACGCCTAGTTCAGGAGTCAGCGAACTCTGCAAAGCGCTGACCACGCACCAGACTCCGGCGACCGTTTTCCGTGGTTTGGTTTCCAGCTCCACACGGGGTGCGCGGGTCCGGGCCGAGGTGCCGCCTGCAGGTTTGAGCTTTGAGGGCTGGGGTCGGGACACAGCTGCGCGCGCCGACCGCGACCAGGAGTCCAAGGCCAGGAGAGCGCAGGCAAGCCCCGGTGCGTACTTAGATCCCCGCTGCGTTCCGCGCTCCGAGTCTGCGCGGCGGGGCGGGGCGACATGAGAGGCGCGCTCCAAGGCTTCCCCGAAGCCCCTACCGAGGGCCACGCCCACTGCGCCTCGGGGCGGGGCCGACACGGGGCGGGGCTTCGTTGGATGGGTGGCGGGGCCTGCGCGTCTGGCTTGGTGGAGAGGCGGGTCTGTCCTGCGTGCTAGAGGGGTCGCTCCCCGAGGTGCGGCGGGGAGGCGGGGCCTGCCGTGGGGGGGGCGGTGCTTGCCGCGGGGCGGGGCGAGCGGCGGGGCGGGGCGAGCGGCGGCAGTGGTGGGCGCAAGAGGGACGTGGGCGCAAGAGGGACGTGGGCGCAGGCCGCGGCGGCCGCCGAGTACCGGACACTGAGGGAGCCGGCCGTGCCCGGTGCCTCGCGGCGCTCACTCCTCAGCCCGGGCACACTCGCCGGCCCCGCTCCCTGGCTGCCTCGGCGAAGGCCTGGACCCGGACGGAGCGGCGCGCGGCGCACGCGGAAGTGGTGAGAGCGGGCCCGGCGGCGGCGGCTTCGGGGGTTTCCAGCGGGCCCGGGGCGCGGGGCGCGGGAAGGCCGGCGCCGCCCCCTCCCCTTCCTCCCTCCTCGCCTCCGCCGGCCCGGGCGCGCGCCGCGACATCCTGTTTACCGCGGCGACGCTGGGGCCGCGAGCGCGCTCCTGGGCCGGGAGGGGGCCGGGGCCGGGGCCGGGGCCGGGGCCGGGGTCGGGGTCGGGGCCGGGACCAGGTCGAGCCTGGACGTCAGCCGCGCCCCGCCTGGCGGTCGTGTCGGGACCCGGGCGGGCCGCGCGACGGCCTGACGGCGGAGAGCTAAGGGGGCGGGGCGGGGACCGGGCGCCCCGACTAGGCGAGGGACTCGGCGACACCCTGGAGTAGGGCCAGGCCCAGGGCTGCGTAGCCTGGGGCGCTTCCCCGGCAGGCCCCGCGGTCCGTGTCCCTGGCCCGTGCCGGGTGCCCGTCTGGGGGTGGCGGTCCGTGCGTTCCCGGGTGGAGCCCCTCGAGGTCATCCCCCGAGAGACCTGAGCCATCGCCACCTCTGGTCGGGTCCCCGCAGTGCGAGTTCCCAACGTGGCCCCTCCGCCGAGCCTTAGTGTTTTTCTCGAGTGTAAAATTGTCCTTACTTCGTTTAGAGAGGAGGGCATGAAAAAACCCTGGGCTGGGAAATGGTGTGTGTAATGCAGAGACAGCTAGACAGGATCGTGGAGCCTTTGGTTGTTGGCTGCTTGTAGATAAGGTTTCAGTTAAGTGTGGGCTCCAACAGTGGAAAAGATTTTTTAAAAAAGATACACATTTTGAATTGATTACATTTGTGTTCTTCCTTTTCCAAAATCCTAGTTTGTTCCGTTTTGTTGCTGTCACTTTTGCTTTTGGTGGTGCTGTGGGTTTCCAAGACCAAAGGAATCATTTTCAGGGAGGATTCAGTGTGGTTTTTTGTGCATTTCGGTGAAGATTGACGGTGGCCATCGGAGTTCTGGACCCTTCTGGTATAATGTGCTTTGTAATGTGGAGAAAATGTCTCCACACTGACATCTGAATCACCTTTAAAGAGTCGACGGCATCATGTCATCATGCATAGGAATAATCATGGTGTTTTCTTAATTCTGTATATTATGTGACCCAAGCACTTTCATTTCATGGCATCTTATCTTTCTGTTTATAACCCAGTAACTAGCACTAGGTAACTCCTCCTACTAGGATTTCGAGGTTAATGCTGCAGCCAGTTTAAATTGTTTCTTTCTTTCTTTCTTTCTTTCTTTTTTTGTTTCTTTCATTTCAGGGTATACTAATGACTGTAGTGAATGACCTAGACATTGGCAAAATAACTGAACGTTTCCCAAAATATAACTACATTTCAGTTTGTTGTAATTTAGGTAGTTTTGATTTAGGCTAAGGCTGTACTCATATTGATCTCTGATTATTTGATAGTTACCCTTTACAAATTAAGGTGTCAAGGGATTTGAATAGGTGGCAAAATCTTTTCAGTTTGGGCACTTTGGTGAAAATAAGGCATTTTGATGGTAGGGTTGCTTTGCAGGAATACACTTGGATTAAATTGCATGAATTTGATCTGAGGATTGAGAGGTGTGTCCTTTGAGATTCTTTATAAACACTGGTGGTTTCAACAGCACATTCCCAGTTATCAGTGCTAATAATGTTCTGAGATTATCACTTCCTTTCTTTGAAGTAAGATATATTTGGAAGCTCACTCAAATGAAACAAGCATTGAGAATATGCGTAGATCTGTACCCATTTTTATAGAAAGAAGACTGTAAAGATAACTGCGTTAGTGAGGCCTCTGTTTTCTAACCTCAGAGTCCTCTGGTGTCTTCATTCTGTATGTTGTTATTATGTTTTAATGAGATAATGTGTTACTAAAAATTTGCCTGAGATGTGCATATTTGTGCAAAGAAAATTTTCTTGTTCATTTCCACATTAAAAAAAATACCCCTTCAGGTGGCTGGGACTTGGGTAAGGAGCTGAATGCTGTTGAGCAGGGTGTGGAAGAGAGGTGCCAAGACAGCCTTGCGGATTCTGGTAGACAAATGGGTCTCATCTTGGTAGTTTTGCCGTAGGCACTGTTCACGGGTTTTGAAGAGGTTTTTGGTAGCTGCAGCCTGAGAAGGGTTGGTCCTGTGGGCATCTAGTGAGTAGAGGGCAGGGATGCTAGCTACTAAACATCCTGCCCTGCCCAGGAACTCCCCACCCCCAGCAAAGTGTTATCTGGCTGCAGGTGCCAGTACTGTGTAAGCTGAGAAATCTCATTTCACCTCTGGCCACTGTTTTCCTTGTCTGTAAAGCGGAAATAAACATATTCACCTTGGTTTTCTCACAGAATTGCTCGGGCAGGTCAGATAAATAATGCACAAGTAATGCATAGAAACAAATTCACAAATTACAGTTTTATAAAGACATTGCTTATTTTTCTGAGCGGATGGTTAGATATGCTGGTAGTTGCTGAGTAAAACAGGTGGATTGTTTGATAATAGTTTTTTTCCAGTATTGGAGATGAGTTCAGGATCTTTTTTTTTTTTTCCTGGTACTAGGGTTTGAACTCATGACCTCGAGTTTACGTCCCCGAGTTCAGGGTCTTTTACATACTTAGGCAAGTGCTCTACCACGAAGCTACATATCTAGCACTTTTTAAAATTCACTTTTAGACAGGATCTTGGTAGGTTAGCCTGGAATTTGTGATCTTTCTGCCTCAGCCTTTTGAGTAGCTGGGATTATAGGTCTGCACAATCAAGCTTGGCCATTTTTCTGTTTTGGAAATGACACTGGAGGCAGAGTGTGGTAGTGTTCTGCTACTTGCAAGTCCAAGAATACTTTGAGCCCAGGTGTTCGTGGTCAGTTTGGGCAACACAGTGAGGCCTTGCTGTTTTGTGCCGCTCTGCAGGTTGGCTTCTTGGACACCTTGGTGTTTCTTTTTTTTTTTTTTTTTAATTTTATTTAAGGAGAAAAGAAAAAAAAAGCAGAGAAAGGGTACAAGTTATACAGATTTGCAGAAAAAAAAATGAACAGTAGGAAATCACTAGTTAATGGATTACATATTGTCATCTTAGAAATAATTGTTCAAGTCACAAAATTAAAGCTTGTAAAGTGGACATTCCATCAATGATACTGCAAACAGTTCTGTTCAATGATCCAATAAAACTCTGTGATATCATTTTCTATCTTATACACTTAAATATACATGCAGTTATATAGTTTAGAGCACTTTCTTTTCCTCTCTTTTGTACAATGACTATTACACATTTTGGGTTTCATTGCTCCCACGGTTCTGATTACTTTTTTGGAAGAGAGTAAAACCAAATGTGACATAACAGAACAGAATCGGTCAAGTCAAAAGGGTGGACATAATAGATAATGTGAAAACATAATACAAGGTGATCAACAATGGTTACCATAATGCCTCCCGCTATCTCTAATAGAATTGCCTATATCGGTAGTTATAATACAATTGAACAAAACAGTAAAGAATAAAACCGACAAAACCAAAACATTGGAGACATTGTAGGTCTTCAAAAGTAGATAAAAGTCAATGAGAATGGGCGTTATAATGAATCTCATTATCTTCACAGCTGATGCCTAAATTTTCGAACCTGATACTATCCAGCAAAACAGAATAGGGGAACATCAGTTAAAAACCAGATGGTGAAAGTAATACAGGGTTTTAAATCAAGATAATGGAAAGTCAAAGTAGGTTACTATAATATATCCTGCTATTTTTTTTCCTTTAATTAAAAGGATAAAAATAAAAAGTAAATAATGGAGTGGAGATTGAGATAAAAGAGGGCATAACAACGAAACAGCACAGATCAAAACATAACCATTTAAGCAGAATAGTGTTTCACCACCAGATAATCCTGACCTAAAAGTAGTTACCATATTGTCTCTTTCCTTGAAATCCTTGAGTACAACTTCGTATACTGTAGCAAACACCTTGGTGTTTCCTGTGAGCCTCTCGAGGCCCTCTGTCCTCAGCGAGGAACACAGGCCTTGTTTCCTGTCCCAGGGCTCCGTGGCAGCTCGAGGTTTCACACGCTGCCATGTTGTACAGCGCCTTCAGGCAGGAAACCAGCTCCTCCGGTGTCTTCCTCTGAGTGCCCCACGTTGGTGGCCGTGTGGAGGCCACGGGCAGCTGTAAACAGTCAGCTCATTTCCTGAGCCCTTCACTTGCAGGGCTTTATGATCTGTGAGCCTCCACAGCTGGCTGTGGGCACACATTCTTCCTAGGTGCTTGGAGATGAGATGTGTTGTTAGGAGCAGAAGGAAAATGTCTCCTGAGTCTGGTCTGGCCAGATGACAGCTGGCATTGGGTAGGATATTTTTAATCTGTGTAGCTGACTTTATTCTGCAGTAATAGTCACGAGTCATTTTGTTTATTCATTTAGCAAATATTTGTTGAGCTCTTGCTGTGAATCTCAGTGAGTAAACAGAAGAAAACAGGAGAAAATCTCTGTGTGCTGGAACTAGCAGTCTTGTGAAGCCCCTGGGGGTGCGCACAGCTGTGTGGTTGAGGTTGTGCACACACAGGAGTGAGGTGGACCTGGGCCCTTTCCTGGCAGCCTTCAGACACTGCTGGAGGTCTGAGCACCCAGGGGTGGCTTCCCTTTTTTCTGTTTTGTTTTTAGATTTACTGATGAACTCATTTTTGGTCTTACAGACACCTGTTGGTACCTACTGAATGTCTGGCAGATAGATGGGCAAGGCACTGCTGGAGATGGAAATAAGCTGCAGGGTACAGCTGCACATAGTGTGGGTAGTGCTGGGGGCTGTGACATGAAGACCACCCAAAGAGTGTGAACCCCTGCATGGAGCATTAACTGATGAGGAAACTTCAATTGAGAGGGACCCGGGGTTAACATGGGGAGGTCATCTAGGCAACACATAGTATGGGAAAGGGCATGAGGGCAGGCACATGTGGAAGCCCACTGGAGTGGATGACTCGGAAGGGTATAGGAGACTGGGCAGACTGGGCCGGGCAGT